CGACTGATGTCCGAAAGCAGCAGGCGTAAAGCCTCTGACTGGATTTGAACCAACTGGTGGCGCCGCTGATTGCAGTGCCTGAGGCACCTTGAAACTTTACTGCATAACTGCTGACTATGCAGGTGTGGCCAGTGAACCCATACCACTTTGTGTCCCACCTTACAATTTTAGACACTCTCTCCTGAAGTGACTTGGTTGCTTGCAATAGTGATAAGCTCCACGAACCCCCTTCGTCGAAGCTGTAGGCTTGCTAGCCTAAGACTGACTGGCTTGTGGCTGAAGCTGTGGACAGCGAGGCTTGATATTACCCGGCTGTTGACAGTGGTAACACATCACTCCCCGGGCTGACCCCAAAGATACTGGAACTACAGGTACAGACCGAGACTGCTGTGACTGTCCCTAAGAACGTAAACTGTCCCCGAGCTTAGCCTTCTTCTAGTACCCCCCAATAGATACTGATGAAGCTTCTCTATGAGACTGCTTATATGAACCCTTGATCCTGAGCTCGGTCCTCTGCCTCAACTAACATAGCTTTCTGCACTACCTCCCCGTAGGTCCTCAAATCCAACATTGAAATTCATGGCCTAATATCAAGATGTAACCCATCCTGAAACTTTCTTGCCCTGAGTTCATCGGTAGCTACCATCTCTGGTGCATAGCGGGAAAGAGAAGTAAAATGTGTCTCATACTCAATGACATTCATCATGCCCTGATCGAGACCTGTGAACTACACTCTCATGTCCTGCCTCATAGCCCTCGGAAAGAAGCGGTCGAAGAACAATGTCCTGAATTCCTCCTAAGTCATTACCTCCATATTGTGGATATTGGTCATGGACCTCCACTAGATATCAACATCCCCCATGAACATAGAGGCAGTCAAGGAGATCCTCAATCAGTCTGTAGGTACTGCCATACTATCGAGCTTGTATACCATGAGATCAAGCCATGCCTCTAAAGCAAGCAGATCCATATTCCCCACAAATTGGTCGATCTTAACCCGCTGTAACTTTGTAAAATAGTCCAATGCCTCATTAACAGTTAGCGCCGGTACTGGAATTTGCATCCTTGTAATATGCTGATGAAACATCTGCTGAATGGACTCTAACATCCCCATAGTCACTCCTTGCCCAATCTGTTCCTCATAAGTCGGCGCTCGTAGTGGATTAGGATCCGCGCCACGAGGTTGAGCCCTGGGCCTCCCTAGACCCCGTGCGAGCCTGGTGTCTGTAACCTGCTCCTCAACTTGCTCATCCACTCTGACGTGATGAGAAGACACTCCGTGAGTCAAAACCAAGGTGCTACACATATAAGGGACAAGGTCAATAACAACGCAAGTCGTTAAGACCTAATGCAACTCACGCTATGAATGCACGAAACAAGTAGCACATAGTAAAAGCACAAAATGTATGCAACATACAGTCATGCTATAATATACAAGCACATATATCATGTTAACACCAGACAAGCATATACATATGCTAAGGCCTACAAGCATATATAACATGCTAAAACAATTAAGGTAGATTCCTAGACATATAGTCACGTAAGCACAAAAATATGTTATTAAATGAAAATGTGTTATCAAGAACACGTAAACATATCAAAGCAAGTCAATAAAAGCATGATATGTACCCAAAACCCGTCGTCCTAAGGTTTTCGAACCTAGGAGCCCTGATACCACCTGTGATGGCCCTAGATTTCTAAGCCCAGTTCGTCCTGTGATGACCCAAAAGTTAACTCAGAACGGATCCAAAATACGGAAGCAAAAGGTGAAACCAAGATCTCTAAAGATGTACGTCATCCCTAAGACACAAAAGTGGCTTCTCGAGGAGTCCCGAGACTCAACAGAAGCAAAAAGCAAACAAGGGTTTTGAAACTCTATAAGAAGTAGACCCAGGGTAAATTGATCATTTCATAGAGAAATGGATGCTACCAAGTATACCGTTGGAAAGACAACAAAAAATGAATAAAGTTAGACTCAAGAATCACCTGATTTGGGGTCCGAACGGAAAAGATATGAAAATAGGACAAAACGACATCCTCCGATTTAGAAATACCACAACTCTATCTCACTAAAACTGGTATAACTCTCACTACAGTTAGAGTTTTTTAGTGTGGTTGGTACCATTGGAAAGCTAACTTCAATATCTTGAATTTAGGCTTAAGAATGACTTGTTTTGGATTAGAAACAAAGGAGATATGACCCTCTGAAGTTGACTCAAGAAAGCTGTCCAAGAAATTGAAAGGAAACCAAGCTCCAGGTAGGATCAGCTAGCTGACGAACAGTACCAGCCGGCCGAAACTCAATCGTCAGTCAGCTGATGCCAAGGATCAGCTGGCCGAAACACAATTTTTCACTTGCAAACCTACTGGAATTTGTCTCGAACATGTGTTAGCCGGCTGATATCTGTTATTAGTCGACTGATGCACCTGATTGCAACCGAAACTGTTGCTGCAAGTGTGGGGAAGGTGCTTGGCCCAAACTTAAAGCTATACTTGCATCCTATATGCCCCGAACCAAGTTTAAAAACATATCCTAGCCTCATTCAAGCATCCATAACATGCTAAATCAAAAGGGAACTCCAAATCATACTCCAATGCATGAAATTTGTATAATATTTCATAAATCATCCAAAAATAGTTCCATAGTTGAATTTTATGAGTTTTCTGAAATGTAAACATGCACGCAAATGTAAAATAATAAAGTAGACGCGCTACAATGGCCTACAACCTCATTACAATCCGTTTACAAATTTCGACCTACCAAACCTCCATTTTCACAAAGTAAGCTACAATGGAAATGCTTAAGTTTTAAAAACACACTTGTAAATTTTAGAGTTAATGGTCCTTGGCCTCATGTCATACATATAAAATAAACAATAAAAGGTGTACTTAGGTACACATTACATGATTCAAGGCAAAAATATTATTTTTCACTAAAATGATACTACATGTTAACACTTGCATGTTTTCCAAAATACAACAAAATACTTTAAGGCATCAAAGCAACTTAGCGATGTGATGCATCCCAAAACAAAGTTTCTTTACCTGCGAAATAACCCAAACAACTAGGGTGAGTAATCAAGTTACTCGTAGGATGTGGTGCATGCGCATACCCTATAGTTTCAAGTATAATGCGAACCAAACATAGATCATCACAAGGGTGCATTCCACCTAATTTCTATGTTCTTAAGGAACTCTAAGGGATCATCTTAAACTATACAAATATTTGAAATGATAACCACATAACATCCAAGTATACATGAACAAGTACACTAACCGCATTGAAACTAAAATCACCAAATCACAAACTACAAGAAATCCATGATTTACAACTTGGAATATAATGCAAAATCAAATAATGGAAAGACTAGGATATGTGGCTACAAGACCATACAAGTTATTTCGGATAATTATGACCCACAAGGTGCTACCTAGTGCGCACTACCACTTAGGAGAATTCTTATCCTCCGTACTAGAGCCAAACCCTAGCCATTAAGCATTTCATATCCTTACAAGTTTTCGAAAATCAACAAGTCCATGACATTTATATAATCTCAATGCATGAAACTACCTACCAAGCACAAGTAGGGTGAAACCGCACAAACCATGCTCTAAGGTTGCATGTCTAAAGTGGCAAGTTAATGATACTACACATTACACTAAAGTAATTTACTATCAATGTAGGCCACAATCACTAATCATGCA